ATGCGATCAAGTCCAGTGCAGCCACGCCATCATGTCCGTCGGCGGCGCCATCGACACCGGCACCATGTCCTCGTTTGGCCTTCTTTTTCGCTCGCTTGGCTTGAAGCAACTTCTTTTGTTTGACAGCGGCAATCTGCTCTTCCTTGGTGGTGTCAACCTCGGCAAGCAGCGAGAGGGTAAGGACCCGTCCACCGACATCAATCCTTTTTCGTCCAGTCCGTCTTTTTCCCTTGGAGGGTAAGAGTAGTAATTCACTCCGTATCGTAGCTTGGTGTTCGATCCACTCGACCTCGACGTGAGTCGACGGGGTACCTCCGTGCTTAAAAAGCTCGAAACGGCGCCTCATCTGCTCCAGGGACAGGGGGTAAATCCCCGATGTTCTGAATCCACTGACAACATTCGCAGGAAAAACGTGGCGGGTCCATGCGTGGGATGCGATGCGCAGAGCGGCGGTTTTTGAGATGGAGTGCAAGTCGCCAGTAACTATCATGAAATTGTTATGTTGAAGTATATATTTCAAAATATTGTTACCGTCGAGTATCATTTCATCGAAAATTGCTTTTGGAATTGCCGTTTTAAATGGACATCAAAGGGTTGAAACAAATGCGTCGCATTCGATGGCAAAGACAACAAGATACCTTGCAGTACATTACACAAAGCAACAATCTCAGCCGAAAAATGAGAAGTCAAGCCATCAAAAATCAGTAAAATTGGTCATTTAATTTCTTTGTCAACCGCACCACTAAAGAATCGCAACCAATTTAAAAACAAATCTTCATTCATAAATCCCTTAGGAGATGTAGAAATAGTAGCACCTGGCACATCGCAATAACCCATCATGATTTTTTCCAGTGTTTCTCCCGGAAATAAAAACAGTGGCGGCACGAGAGTTCCATCGGCACTTCCACATGCAACAACAGAGAGGTGAAAGTTTGTGGCCACCGTCTTGGCCCAAACGTTTGGAGACCCCTTCAGGGCAACCACCTTCTTCGACTTGCGGCGAGTTTCGAACGCGGTCTCATCCATGTTGAACATGCGGTCCAGCGTGAGGTTGTGCTCCGCCATGATCATGTCCAAAGACTCGTAGAGTCGCTGCACTCCGGACATATCCACGCTATTTCGAGCAATTGAATTCACTTGGGCCACCCAGTTCACCAGGTTGGGATGTCGGCCAATGAACCGCCGGAACCAACCACCGGTGAGCGAGCGCGTTGGGTCAAGGCGTCGGATGAGTTGGTTGGCTTTCACGATGATACCAGCTCGATCCATTGGAAAGCCGTTTTACTGCATTGCAGCAATCCATGCGACGAGATCGGATTCGCATGTTGTTGGTAGAGATGTCTTTGGACCGGGACGCTGAAGAGGCACCTCGGCGTCGTTCTTGCGATGACGGACCTTGTACATGAGTGTCTCGTATGGGATTCTGTAGAGAGCGGAAGCATCGGTCCCAAGCATGCCATCGATGACATCGACCACGGCAGCTTCCAGCTCTGCTGGAGTGTATCTCCGTCTTGGTTTGCTGGGTGGCATGTCAATTTAACACTGCGCGCCATTCCATCATGTTGCCATTATCATAATATGTAGGTTTTGCCGCGCAAACTCCGAACTCATTGATTGGCTGGATTGCGTACAGCATCAATTGGCACATACCCCATAGATTGGCATTTTACGTTATGTCAAATAATATTCTGACAGAAAACAATACTAACTACCGGTAGCGAACCGGTAGCGAGTATTAATACCGATCTGGAACGCATTGCAAGGTGGGTGAGGGATTTGCCGCCATAACTAACGTACATTTTATATCAGTGCTTTGCCCTGTGTAGTATTAGAAGTACTAACATAGGTACACACTCAGTAACACCACGTCAACGCATTCATCACCCAAGGTCGCTGTGGGGTTTCCTCAAACAAAACTGCAAACTTGTACAGGGTTATTATCCGAGAATGTGTGTCTAAAAGGTCTTGGGCGTGCGACGGGTTGCCGGATGGATCAGCAGCGTATCGCCGTCAAAGTCGGACCCTGAGAGTGCGAGCGCCGCCGCGACGAACTCGTCGGACGCGAACTTGACATGGGCAAACGTCTGGGCGAAGTCTGGCGAGTGGGAGATCCGGATCGAGTCGATGGCACCGCAGTGGTCGAACATGCCGCGCAGATCGTCTTCCAGGACGTCTTCGGGCAAGTTGGCCACGTACACCGTGTCGGGCACGGGCGCGACATCGAACCCTGGGTGCTTCTGCTCGCGTTTGTTCTCGGCAGCGTCCTTCACGATAAGCGTGCGGCCGTCCACGATCGCGCCATGCATCTGAAGCGCCACTTCGGCACAGGACGGGGACTCAAACTCGACAAACGCGTACCCTTTGGATCGCCCTGTGCTGGATTCGCAGACGACGTTGAGGTACTTGATGGGTCCACATGCGTGGAAGAGCGCCGCGATGTCCGCTGGCGTCTTGCTGTACAAGAGATTGCCTACATACACTCGGGAAGGATTGGGGCCCGAGATGGCCGACGACAATTGGGAGGATGGAGGCGGGGGCGGAATGCGCTCGGCGAATGTATCGGCTGGCGACGGCGTCGCGGTCTTGACCACGAGCGAACGACCGGCGGCGACGGTGCCCGTCAATCGGAGGGCTTCGTCGACACCTTCTGGGGAATCAAATTCGACGAACCCAAAGCCCTTGGACTGCTGTGTAACGACGTTCCTGACGATGTTTAGGTGCACGATGTCGCCACAATGCGAAAAGATCGACGCGAGGTCGCTTTCCGTGACTCGGTACGGGATATTCCCCACATACACCCGATGAAGTAGCTGGGCAGAATTGGAGTAGGACACGCAGCCAAGCGGGTGGCACAGTTGCGACCGAAGAAGCAGCGAGCGGGCGGTGCCGCGGACAATGGTTGTCGACAGAACTCGGCGCATGTTGCAAAAAGTGGTGGTTCGTTGGGGATGACTACGTGTCCGGATAATGGCGATCCCCTGAGCCAATCAGAACGTAGTCCAACTGTGTGGATAACAGGCTTTTTCAACGACAAATTTAGGATTGATCCTGCTTCAATCATTGTTACTTGATCACACTATGCCATACAAGGTTTAGTATAGAAACATTTGACCCAATGTGGAGCGACAGGGCAAAACACGTAGATTTGATTGGCTAGATATTGGACCTAACGTGCTATGATTGGCTATCATTCTCAAATCCTGCGTTGGTAAAGGGCAGATAAGACGCGTCTGATTGGTCGCTTTCGAGTGTGACGACGGCGTGTAGCTATCGTTTACGGGTTGCAATTGGACAAATCACATTTGTATTCTCGACATGAAAGGCATGCTGGCAGTCGCACTTGGACGCCCACAGATCCGCGCAGTCAGCTTCTCCGCGCAGCTCCCTCGACGGCGACCAGCTCTGAGGGATCTCGTGATCTTGTCACCCAGCTTGTCTGCGTCGCTTGGCCGGGAACCGAATGAAATTGCCAAGATCATCTCGGACGAATCGGCCACCGACCCAAAAACTCCGTTCCGCATTCAATTGCCCAACAGTTTGGACCGTCCGTGGGTAGCGGCGAAGGACGTCGGCTTGGCCGATCCACATGCCCATCAGCCAGCACCTGAGCCTCCAGCGAGCCATGAATGCTGCGGCTCCAGCTGTCCGAACTGTGTATGGATCAGTTATTGGGAAGAAAGTCAGGCGTGGGAAGCGGCGGTGGCCGCCGCTGCCGCTTTAAACGAACAAGTTGCGTAAAACTCTTTTGTTTATGTTCCTGTTGGTTGTCGATTCATTAGTTAAAGTGAAAGATGTGCATGTGCCCCTCCATCGCTGACATTGCAGGCGTTCAGTGCTCGGGTCTATCTCGAGGAAGTCATCATCTTGACTTTAGCAATGCAAAATGTCACTGCGGCGGGATGCAGCTTGTGTGTGAATTCAAACATCGTCTTCTTGTGCCCGCACACAAGCACACCAGTGCGTGGGCAGTGCCCGATGGCTTGACCATCATATGTGTGCCGCACTCGATTCGTGGTGACAATCCGAAGCGTCACTCGTCTCAACAAGGACAACAATGCAGGTTGCTGTGGACAATACTAAGTTAAGTCAAAACAGTGTATCGCCAACTTGAGCATGCGTATACTATACTAACAAGTCACAAACACTTCATGAATTGTACCTCGTGGAGGGCGCTGATGGGACGCGATGGCGCAGCATCCGGTCGCTCAAACGCGACGTGGAGTTCGCCCTTGGTCGACACGCCTGTGAGGGATCGAGGCCGCTTGCCAATCAAGTTGTTCACACCCGCTGTAAGTTTGTTGTTCAGTGCGACAGGAGGGGGTGTCGAGTTGTCCATGTCCGAGTCCACCAACGTCATTAATACCACAGGTTCGTGGAAGGGAACGGGGGTTTTGCCCAGTATGATGGCACTCTCCCCGGGTGGCGGCAGGCTAGCCACAGAAAGATCAAACAATGTCGTGACCACTCGACCCAAGTACACAAACGTACACGACAAATCGCGCAGGCGAAATAGGGCGCGACGATGTGTGATGCTTTAGCAGTGCTAGCACCTGTTCGTCGGAAGTTGATGGTTTCACCAATCCAGTCACCCCGAGCGGGAGAAACCCCACCGGTAGCTCCTCCCAACCGCCTCCTATCGAAGGAACGGTGCCAAATAGCTCGACGGTATCGCCATAAACAAGTGCGTCCTGTCCTGCGAGGACCACCGCCGCCGCGTCGTCTTCTCTCTGTTGCGGTAACCATATCGCCCCACTTGTGTCGCCAGTGTCTACGACGAAGTTGAACGTGCCCATGCTACCGACGCCGCTGCGCAACCTTTCGTCGACCTCTTGGATCGTTGGATGGTGATACGAATTTCTGCTGACAGTCTTTACGACCACAATGTCTTTCGGATGCACTTCCACCGTGGGACAAGAAGTCAAACCAACAGGGGATGCACCGACGGTATCTGCGGCGGCGTCACTTCTCATTCGAGTCCAGCTTTGGGGCTGAAACCGCAGGTAAGTAGGAAAGTCGGAACAGGCAGTTTGAGCAGTTACATCCGCGACCAAGAGCTCTGTCCCTTAGCACCAAGGACACGGCTCAATATAGGGTACTACATGTGTTTGGGCACCATTTGTCGTTACTGATGCCAATTGCTCAACTTCAGCGACGCCACGTCATAAAATGAGCATAGCAACAAATAGCGCCGAAAGCCGGGGTCACAAAGTTGTAACTGCCGTACTAACTTAATGTGAAACGTCTCAAGGTGCACAAGTTACCACCAAACTTGAACAATTAAGCTCTCGTTATAGTCGACACGATACAGTAATGTGGGCGTACTCGTTCTCGGGCCGGCGGAGCTTGTTCCGCGATCGGCACCGCGTGCTCTTTTCACTTTCCAGCAACGACGACGATCGTCGCAACTTGACGACAGCATTGGGACTCGGAGCGTACGGTGTCTTCATCACTGCCCCGGACGACGCGTCCCAGCTAGCGGCGGGTAGTTCAACCACCTCGTTCGACCAATTCCATGACATACAATCGTAGCCAAAACAGCGCTGCGAGATCTCATGTCCAAGGACTCGCATATAACTAGAGACGACATTTGCATCGTTTGCGAATGCAGCTCGACGTGGTCGTTGGCGACGTTAGGCGGCAAATGCAAAGACGTCGCGGCGAAACTCGACGTTGGCCGCATCGACGTGGTGCTGTACCCGAACGCCCTCTTGTCCCCCGCAGTCCACGGACAGGTACGACGCCCCCCGACGAAGCGCATATTACTGGCTGACACCCCAAGAGGTTCGAACTGTTGCGCTCGTGGAGGCGTGGACCGCCATGACCACGCTGCGCTCGGCTGGCCTTGTGGATCACATTGGCGTGAGTGACTTTGCCGTCCACGAGCTAGAAATCCTCTTGCGAAGGTTTCCAGAACACCCTGTGGAAGTCCAATGCATTCGCGACGTTTCGCCGTTCAGCCCATACGACCACATGGTGCGGTTCTGCCAGGGCAAACAAATCGACGTTGTGGCCTGCTTTTCCGTCCAACTTGATTCGCTAACCCACATCCAAAAAGCCACGTGGTCGAAGATTGCATCCGACATCGCGACGGCCCACCAACGCATGCATTTTCAGCATAACTTGCCTTCCGAAACGATACGTGTGGACAACTCGAATGCTTCGATCAACCAGGCCACGGAGACGTGCGACGTCCAACTTGATGCACGGCGGGTACGTATTGATCATGCAAACAACTGCATTTGGCTTCGCATCTATGGTGTGTGAGCATGACGCATGACTGACTGCATTTTTGTAGACCGCGAGCGAAGTGCTAGCGACGTGGCTCAACCAGCGAGGTATGATTGCCGTCCCGATGGTCGAAGGCGACGAACCCTACGACGAAGGTGCGTGCCGAGCGCTCTTCTCCCTTAGCCATCCGTTCGTCAAGGAGCCAGCAGCGGCAGCCCCCTCTAAGCCGTACCATTTCGTCTTGTGCAAGGACGACATGACATTACTGGGTCGCTTGGCAACCTCAATCATCCAATAAAGTACGATGGTTTTGTCCAATTAAAACCGCTTATTTAGGATAGCTGAAATGGATTGGCTCTTTTAGAAACAAATCTTTTGTCCAATCATATGCATTGTGTTGCGGCTGCGGCTACAAGAAATTCAAACGATTCACAGGATGGGGAAAGCTGCTGTGAAGAAATCACCGACGCCGACGAGCTCGGAAGCAGGGGACCCCTGGACTGGGCGCAGTGTGAGTTCTTTGTCGGAGAAGTGGACCAATGAGGTAGGTCGATCATGCATATGTCGATGGGGATCTTCATGATGGACAGTAGAAGGCGGTGGCTGCGTACGACGCCACCCTGGTTACGTATATCTACAGGACATTCTTGGACCACGTGTCGACCAAAGAGTCTTCGTCGCATCACCACCACGAGATTACGCTCTTGAGCTCCACGGGGTATTTGGAGAACTACTTGTGGCTTCACTTCAATGCCGAGAAGCACGCGACCGACAAGTGGTTGCTGTTGTCGATCGTCGCGCTCTCGAACGAGACAGACGGGCGACTGTGGACGTCAGTAGATGGTTCCAAGTATGCCTCTTTCATCGACTCGTTGTTCCGCCTCAAGCATGGCCATGCGTTTGCGTCCTGGAGTCTCCGTGAGCACGCGCGCTTCCTCCGATTCCTCACACATGGTATCCGTCACCTCGAGCACGCCCATGTGGCCAAGACGATGCTGCAGTACGCGTCCCTTCCCACGTGGAAGCACTTGTCCGACATCCAGCGGAATTTGGTGTTTGCCGACCACCCCAAGCTCAAGCGGCACTGGCAGAACCGCATCCCCAGCCCCCCTGCACCATCTTCTTCGAGTCCCGTGGTCAAGAAGCGCAAGGTCCTTCCTTCGTCTTCTCCTGTCGTGGACCTCGACGGCGACTTTTACGTCGGCCTGCTCAACGATCTCAAGGCCGTGTTGTTGCGCGCGGCGGCCGATCCGTCCGACGACGACGACGACCAGGACGACATTGTGCACTACGTCGCGCACGCGTTGGACCTGTGGGTGGACCTCATGAGTCAGTTGCCGACGCGGCGATTCCTACGGACGTTGGCAGTGCACTTGCACCTGCTCATGGCATGTCGGCACAGCGCCGTCGTGACCAACCATCCATTGCTGTCCAAGCAAGTCGCGTTGCTGCACTTTTACGTGCACTTTCCACTAGATGACCAGACCGGACATGCTTGGAGTGCCGTGGAGCACAAGGCGAACGTCGCGAGTCGCGCGCATGCCCTCCAACTGACGGCGTTCGCGACCCACGAGTCGCTGCGCGCGCTGTCGCTGCTGCCGCTGTCGTCGCTAAGTAACCGGTCGGTTCTGCAAACCCAATTGAATCTCGTGCCCGACGACATCTTGTTCCCGTTTGCGATCGCCGCGGGGCTGGTCCAGCCGTCGGACGAGAACATCGACTTGGTGGATGCATTCGTCGACCGGTTCGCGCTCCATGCGCCGCCGACGCTGTCGGCGCTGCCGCTGTTTCCCACGGAAGCGGACCTGTGGGCCCCCGACACGGCCTCCCTCGACGACGACCACGCCCATGGCGATCGAAATCAGCCGCTGATTCTGTCGACGCGCAAGCTCAACCTGCAGTTTCTCAGCCTTCAAGACTACCTCTACCGCAACTACGAGCTGTTCCGTCTCGAAGCGGCGCACGGCGTCCGGTTGGACCTCGAGCATGTGCTGCACGTTCTTCAGCCCGGATCGTCGTCGCATCACCAACCAAATTCTTCGTCATCTGGCCGCCCAGTGTTTCGGCGCCGACACCCCATGGCCGCCCCCGTCGATGCCGTCAAGATCGTCCGCGTGGACCCGCCGTCGATCGGCCACCTGCATCCGGCTCAAGTCCTTGCCCAAGTCAATGTGGATCTGGCCCCGGAGGCCGTAGAAGCGTGGGATGCCGCACTGCAGCTGCCCGGGCACCACGTCGTGTTCCTTGTCCACGTGGATGCGTCTGCGATCCCTTATGACGACGATCAAGCCAAGCTGTCGGTGCTCAACGCAGCCGAGCAGCACGGCGTCCAAAGCGTCCGCGGCGCGTCCGTGCTGCAAGTGCTCGACGGGCACGGCACCGCCATCGGCGACCTCGTCGAGCATCCGGACGGAACGCTGGTGCGGGCCAAGGGCAAAGGCACCCGCCGCGTCCTCCGCGTAGCCCTCGACGGCGCGCAGTACGCCAAGGATGTGGCGGAGGCCAACACGGACGTGTACACGCACTTGAACGTCGTGGTCCGCCGCGACGCCAAAGTCAACAACTTCAAGGCGGTGCTCGACACGATCCAAGACATTTTGAGGGAACAGTCGCCGAGTCGCGTGCTGCCTGCGTGGTTGGCCGACGTGTTCCTCGGGTACGGCGACCCCGCGTCGGCCCACCACCGCCATCCGTCCCTCCAAACCTCCACCTCTTATTCCGTCCCCTTGTTTGATACATTTGCCAACCAAGCACACGCCGCCGCGTCATTTCCCAATGCGAGAAACGTCGAATTCATTGCTAATGGCGAGGCCACGAGTCCCGCCAAGGAAGGCGGCAGTGGCGCAGCGTTGTCGTTTACGTTGATCCAAAAGCACGACCAAGGCGACCAGAACGTGGTGCTGCAAGTCGATTCAACGTCATCGCATACGACAGATGGACGTCCGTCGGCGGCGGTTCAGTTTACACCCACCCAAGTCGACGCGATTGTCAGCGGCATGCATCGCGGCCTCACGCTCGTGGTGGGCCCCCCCGGCACGGGCAAGACGGACGTGGCCGTGCAGTTGATTGCGAATCTGTACCAAGCGTACCCGACCGAGCGCATCGCGATTGTCACGCACGCCAACCACGCCTTGGACGACATTTTCGCCAAGTTGAAGGCCAAGCGCGTAGTGGACCCGGGCCATTTGCTTCGACTGGGGGGCGGCGGCGTCGTCGGTTCTTCGGACGATGAAACCGACTTTGAAAACGACTTTACCAAGGCGGGCCGCGTGGCGTTCCTGCTCGCGCGACGCCGTGTCCTCCTTGACCAAGTCGAGTACATCGCGCAGGCGGTGGGCGGCGCCGCCGCCGCGTCTGGCGCGTCGCACTCGTGTGCCCAAGCCGCCTACTTTTACACCCGGCACCTCGGTCCGGCATTGGCGTCGCCCCCGACAGCCGACTTTACCAGGTTTGTGACACAGTTCACCCACGCTTCAAACGGGGCGGACCAACGCGCGTACTTTGCTCGACTGTTTGACGAACTGGCCACGCTCAGTGCGCTGGAGGTGCTTCGCACGCCGAAACAGCGCGGCGACTTCCTCCTCGTCAAGCACGCGCGGGTCGTGGCCATGACGTGCACGCAGGCGGCGATGAATCGGTCGCGGTTCATCGACATGGGGTTCCAGTACCAGTCGGTTGTGATGGAGGAGGCGGGCCAAGTGAGCGAGATTGAGTCGCTGATTCCGATGCTGCTGCAGAAAACCACGTCGCAGCTGCACCGCGTGGTGCTCTTTGGTGACCACGAGCAGCTCCCCCCCGTGGTGCAGAACCGCCCACTAGCCGACTTTTCTAAATTGGATCAGAGCCTCTTCACGCGACTGGTGCGTCTCGGAGCTCCGACCGTCCAGCTCGACCGACAAGGCCGCACGCGGCCGTCCATTGCTGCGCTATTCAAGTGGAAATACAAGGTACTGTACTATTGGTTGTCCTTATACCCAACATGTGGGCTTTGGTGCGGATTCCTTGTACTGTGAAACTTGTATTGAATTTTGTATGTAAAACGGTGTCCTGTGGTGATTGGTATCACACTAATTGAAGTCAAACACATTAATTAGATGTGGATACTGGTTTCCTGCAATCTGATTGGCGTGCTAAATCAATCTGCCGAGGATTCAACGTGACAGAAACGGGGATTTTACTTTAGTTGATATGTGTATATTTCATATATATAATATGGTATATGAATTGAAATAATTTGTACCAAATCGATAATATTTTTTTCCCATTTTCATTGAATTCTATTTTGGGAATCATCTAATGTTTGTTGGTAGCATTTGACCGACTTGACGTCGGTGACGTCAGCGCCGCAGTTTACCACGGCCAACGCTGGGTTTCGCCATACGTTTCAGTTTATCGATGTACGTCCAATCAATATCGCCCCCTCGACTCAAAATCCAATGGCTACGACTGTGCATCCAATGGCCACGACACTGTGTATCCAATGGCCATTTCGCGTCGTCCCACTGGTTCTCACTTGTTCGATTGCATCTTTAGGTACCAGGGGGGTCGGAAACGTCTCCTCGACTGCACGCGTATGAAAACCATTTGGAAGGGCTGTACCTGGTCCAAGTGTACCAGTACATGCGGTTGATTGGGTATGCCGCCGATCGCATCGCCGTCTTGACGACGTACGCCGGTCAGAAGGCGCTGCTTTGGTCGCTGTTTCAGCCGGGGAAGGCGGCGTTCGGACTGCCCAACGCCATCGCGACCGTGGACGAGTTCCAGGGCCAGCAAAGCGACTTTGTCCTGCTCTCGCTCGTGCGCACGCGGCATGTGGGGCACCTGCGCGACGTCCGGCGCGCCATTGTCGCCGTGTCCCGCGCCCGCCTCGGGCTGTACGTGTTTGGGAAGAAGAGCGTGTTCACGTCGGCTGTCGAGTTGAAGAATGTTGTGACACCGTTGACCCATGCGACGACGTTGGCGCTCGTCCCAGCGGAACGCGCCGACAAAGGCCCGATTCGACGCCAAGAATGCGACAAGGTGCCGTCGGACCACGTGCATCTAGTGCCGGATGCCCACAACATGAGCGATATGGTGGCCAAGTTGAAGGCGCAGCAGCAGCGGCAGTAGAATGTGGACGAAAAGCGGTTTACTGGACGGGATTTTGAAAAGTCTACCGTCCTAGTGGAGTTTTATCGAGAATATATACTGTTTACTAACGTTACTATTATTAATAATTACAGTACTTATTATTAATAATAATCACTCTCGCTCTCAAAAAAGACCAAAATCCTTCAAAACACAATACACAGACTTATTAGGTTTTACAGGTTCAAGGGCATTTGAAGTGTGTTACCGGGGTGTAAAGAGGTACTACGTAGTAAAGTAGCATTGAGCGAGGCTACGGGCACTCCACTCGTCAGACTTAAAGGTCTGATTTATACGGTTAACCCTTTAGATAGGACTGATTTTGGATTATACACATACCGGTACTGCCACCCGTTGGTTTTATCGGGGTCTCAATAAGTCCAAACATAAGTTCACAGTCAGTACCGAAAATCCCTATCATAGTCAAGATATCACCCGACCTATGCTATCCGGAAGAGTTATACTTCGAAGTATAATCTAAAATAATATACAAAAGTACTGTTCAACATAGTCAAATACAGTACAGCATGCAATCTTTATAATAATTCCCATTCAATTTACACTGATGACCAACGAAGGCACACCTTGACGGATGAGAGCGCCGCGCATCGTTCGTACGGCGAGGCGCTGCTCAACTGCTTCCGCGGCGGCGCGTTTTCCGCCCTCCTCGACATCACGTTGATCGTGGCGGGCGTGAGCATTCAACACGTGCTGCTGCATGCCGCTTTCACGCCGACGAGATTTGTGGTGCCGACGTCGGCGCCGATCTGTCGTCCGCTTCGCCAGTGCAGCATATCGGCGGGATGGAACGGCACGGACTTGTTGCCAACGATGCTGGTGTTGCCGTCGGCAAAGCAAGGCCGCTCGAGAGTGTTCACAAGCAGGTCCAGGTCGATGGGGTCGGTTTCGTCGGGTAGCGTCGTCGTCGGGGGGGACATGTGTGGGGCAATGATGCCATCTCCAAAGATGGTGGCAATCATGCACCCTACCCCCTCAACCTGGACCTGGTTGTGAACACTCTCGAGCGGCCTCGCTTTGCCGACGGCAACACCAGCATCATTGGCAACAAGTCCGTGCCGTTCCATCCCGCCGATATGCTGCACTGGCGAAGCGGACGACAGGCATTCCTGCTGACCACGGTGCCCGAAGAAAAAAGCGCGTCACGGTAGCCCCCGCCAAGACTCCGCAGCCGTGAGGCCAGATCCTCGTCAACGACCGATGAGGGGTTCTGGGCCGGCGTCTTGAACCCGTCGTGTTGGTGCCCCTATGCTATAAACGTTAACGAGTTCGGTCTATAATGGAACGCGAGTGTCGTGGAAGCTGTTTGTTGATGTAAATGCACTCATTATTATCCCCTGTTCGTCCCGTGCATATAAGTCTGACGGGTGGGGAAAATGAAACTTAACGTTGTCGCTGGAATCTCATTTATCCGAACATTATCCGTATATTGCCTGGTCAAAAGTCCCAACCGGTGGAGATGCTCTCAATGGACATGCACAGTGACAGCGAATATTGCGATATCACGCAAAGTATACTACTAGCACGCTAGGTCGGCATGTCAATTTCAGAAGTATTAATAACAGTTAAGGGCTCCTCTGGATACAATGTCATAAAATTATGCCATAAATGGGTTTTGAGATTTTGACCAAAACACCAAAAAACAATGTTTGAGAAACCGTCTGGATCCACATGATGAAACTGTCATCTCGCTGAAAATTTGATTGCGCGCGAAAGTTACACGCATCTCAGATGAAGCTACAACTATGTGTGCTCCGACAGCGCCTTCGACGACGCCGAAGGCGCTGTCTTGACTGGGGCCATGTGGGTGTCTGAAATCCTCGAAGGCAACAAGATGCCTCCATCGAAATCTTTCGGCATTCCGTGGACTCGACTTCGACCTCGAGGAACGAGATGCCTCCATCGCAACCTTTTGACGATTTGCGCGGCACATAACGAGTCTTGATTTGAGCTGTTGCATCGTGAACGGTGGGCCTTGAGGTTGGCTATGGTTGATCCACGCCTCCTTCTTGTATCCACTGCGCGCACATTTCCAAACCACGACCGCTTGGTACACAAGCTCCTTAAGAGATGTCGAGGTCGTCCGTCTAAAGTCCCATGATTCACTCCTGAGGTTGACAGCGATCTTTCGAAATGCGAGGGTTACTGGTTTGATAGACTGTCTTTACATGAGAAATGGACCTTTTCGGTCTATTTATGCCATAATTTCGTCCTTTTTGGCCTTCAATTTTGGAATAAAAGCATTGTATTTTGTGGTATCCAGACGACAAAAATGGAAGACTTTGTCATTTCTACATTTTAAGGAGAAATTCGCTATTTTATGACATAAAATGTGGCATCCAGAGGAGCCCTAAGGACATTTCCATGGTGATGTGACAAATCGAATAGCCAATCAAATCGCTTTAGTTACAATTCCACCAATCACAACAGGGTATTGTCCAAACCGATAAAGTTATATCGTGTGCCGACAGTCCCATGTCGAGCTCGTTGTCCAAGTGGAGCCATTGAGCGACTCCATTGTCCTCGATGTTCGGGAACGCGATGAACCTGACATGTGATGAGAGTAACGTTCGTCGTGCATTCCCATGGGGCGGGGTGTCGTCCAGTCCAGTGAGGAAGACTGCAAAGTACATGTGTAGGGGGCGGCCGATATCTGCACGACGGTCCTCGACGAAGATCGGTCGCTCGATCAAACTGGGACTTCATACTATTTAATGCCTATTCTATTGCTTCCTCAACCTTCTCACCACCATATATCAAGCCAAAGGGTACGAGAGGGGGGTCGCTATATCTATTTATGCTTGCTTCGAAGTATAAATGTGAAAGTGCAAACGTTATGGTGGTACCAAGAAAGACTCTGGTGGAGCAAATGTCTATATGCGGGCGGGAGACGCAGTATATGCAGTGTATAGTTATGTTATTCGACGACGTCTGCTGCTTGTGCGGCCGCTGCCTTGACGCGATTATTGTAGTAATGCATCCAATGTAACCCTTGTTGCTGGTGCACCAAATCGCGAAAGTTATCGTGGGCGATCATCTAATGGAGAGCATCATTACAGTAGATCGATACATCCTTGGTTGACAGTTCTCGAGCACCAGTGCCGTCATATCTGTACCTGGCGAAACTTCTCGTCGTCCAATAGGTCGAGGAACGTCAACGCATGGGGGTAGCTGATCACATGTCAGGGGCTTTCACACGAGACATCCGCAAGGAAGCGACGCAACAAGTGGACTTACTTGACATAACGAGCGTACTCGGGCTTCTTCCAGTACTTGAGGTATTGCAGGTAGTTGAGGAAGGCCGGGTTTTCAAAGTACTGGTTGATCGCCAAATCTACGTAGCGCGCATGTGAACGTCGTAAGGGCCGTCCATGATGCATGAAGCACCGTACGGTTCAGATACGACGGACTCGCCAAGCATTGGATGAACTCGAGCTCGATCTGGAAGCGGATGTCGTCGGTCGGGACCTCCATGTTGTCGAAGAAACAGTCAAGTGCGATTCGTTCAAGTGCGTTCTAAAACCAACACTCTTCTCCTGTAGAGGGCCTACAATTATCCGGATATACTCGAACTATCCGTATGAAAACTTCGTTTTTCCGTAAAAGGATTTCATCTATTGCCAGATTCGACAAACGCTTTTGCAACCGTTCAGTTGACTGCACAAGGGGGAGAGCGAGGTACGATGGACAAGCTCATGATCGACAAGTTCAAGAACGCCTTCGATGATGCGTAAGTCTATCCTCTACGGTCGCATGTCTAGGCGAGTCATGCATGGGTTCGTATCCCACATTATATCGCGGACAATAGGAAGGGGCTGGTCAAGTCCAAGATGGGCACGGACACGGAAAAGAAGCTGGAAGAGGCGCTGTCAAACAAAAACTGGGGCGCGTCCAGCACGTTACTGAATGAAATTGCCCAGTTGACCTACGAATAGTACGATCCTTCCACACATCGTTGGCGGTGGTACTATCATTCCCGCTAGCGAATCCTACAACCTCGTGATGAAGAAGGTGTGGGAAGCCATGGACGCGGAAGGTCGTCAATGGCGCACCGTGTTCAAGGCATTGGCTCTCTTGGACCACTTGATCAAGAACGGCACGGAACGCGTTGTCGAGAACGCGCGCGATCACATGTTCAAGCTCCGCACGTTGTCCGACTTCAACTACTACGACGGGTCTGCCGACAAAGGCGCGGGTGGTACGTCTATCTCTCCCCATATAACTTTCATAACGTGTTATTGCAGTGCGGGAAAAGGTCAAGCAAATCCTCGACATGCTGAACGACAACGACCGCATCCGCGACGAACGTGACAAGGCTAAGCGGTTGCGCGATAAGTACATTGGCGTGGGCTCCACGGGAAACACGGGCGGGTTCTCCAGTGGGGGCGGCTATGGTGGCCAAAGTGGCGGCGGCGGTTACGGCAACTCGGGTTCGGGCGGGTACGGCGGCTCGGGGGGTGGTTACGGCAACGACTCGGGCGGATACGGAGGTCAAAGCGCGGGCGGATACGGTGGTCAAAGCGCGGGCGGGTATGGCAACGACGGAGGCTACGGCGGCAGTAACAGCGACCGGACCAACAGTCGAGACCAGGACAATGGCTATGGCGGCAGTCGGACGGGCAGTCGTGACAAATATGCATCCAAGCAAGCCGACGACGCGGAATCCGAAGAAGAGGTGGGCGACTCGTTCGTATATTACGCAGAAACGGTAATGTGACAGGCGACTTTGCTGTTAGGTCAAACCCAAGCCCCGCCGCACGTCCAAAACGAAGCGAGCCACGAAAAAGGATGATTCGGTACGGTTCAATATTCATTTTGGGAGGTATTTTATTTGTTGGTGCTTCAATGTGGTGCAGGTTGTCGCCGACGACGACGAGCCAGTGCGCGCGCCGTCCAACGCGCCGTCGCTCTTGGACCAGGACTTCTTTGGCGGATCTCCTGCCGCCCCCGTCGCCCAAGCCGCCGCTCCATGTATGTTGTTTTTCATTCTGGTGAACCTTTTGTTAAACAAAGCGTTGGGCAGTGCACACGTTCGACCCGTTTGCAGTCGCGCCTGTGGCCCAGCAGCAGTCTGGAGGGTATGGGAACTTTGGCCAACCGCCCAGTCAAGCCCCTCCAGCTGCGTTCAATGCGTTTGCACCGCCGCCAGCCCTGGGAGGTTTGAACCAATTTCAAGGCGGGTTTCCTGGCGGGTTTCCCCCACAACAACAGCAGCTGCAGCCACCTCTAGCCCAAGGATATGGCGGTCAATACGGAAGCCAAACTGGCCAGTCGGCTCCGTTCGTCGGAGCTCCTCCCCCGGCGCCCGTACAGTCGCTTGGCAATCCGGCGCAGTACACCTCCCAGCCTAAAACCAACAGCTCTGCACCGCCCTCTGCGGCCAAGTCGAACGACGCGTGGGGCGCGGGCTCCAACTTGTTTGACTTGTCCAACTTGGGCCAGTCGTTGCCGTCGGCCACCGGAGGACAGAAGCCCAGCGGACCGGGCTTGGCGCCTCAAAACAGCTTCCACGGACTGGACACGCTCGCGGGCCTCCCCAACAAGCCCCGTCCGTTAGGAGGAGCGCCAGCTCCTTTGTACGGAGCCCCTACGCAGCAACCTTCGTATGGCCAACCTCAATATGGACAGCCGCCCCAGCAGCAGCAATATGGACAGCCTCCGCAAGGATATGGCCAACCGCAATATGGACAGCCGCCCCAACAACAGCAATATGGCCAACAGCAATATGGACAACAGCAATATGGCCAGCCTCAACCACAGTACGGACAACCTCAACAGCAGCAGCAGCAGCCATTTGGTGCAGGATTCCGTCAATTCTAGTCGATGGAATATTTAGGCTGGAGAAATAATACTATAACAAGCTAGCAAGGGTGGACTATTGTGATGAAGTAGGCAATGTGTGCATCGGTCACGACGTCGGACAAGGGGGTTTCATAGATTGTACATGGGATAATAGACACAACGATGATGACGGACGAGACGAGTATCAACTACAGGCGGCGTAGTTGCCGCAGCCGTGATCTAATGCGTGGAAGCCATACGTATCTCGATGGAACTCTGACAGTTTCTGAGCATGCGCGTCCAGGTTGTGTTGAGGGGATTCGTGGTTGGTCGGGTCCATGGCGACGTCGTCACTACTGTCGTCGATCTGTTGAACAACGTCGACGGACATGTAGTTGCTCTTGCGTTTCCTCAGCCCTTCCTTGTACTGGTGGTCCGTCGGACATGATGATCGTGGTGGCGCTGGCCTGGTCGACATACTCCTGACGTCCACACCGTCGACGTACATGATGTGGCAGTTGGTGCTGTCGAGAGTTTGTAGTTTCTGTCGAGTTTTCATGTGGTGTCGCAGCAGGTCCTTTGGTTGAGGTGATGTGGGCGGCGTGGTAGGCTGGACGAATGTAAGGCTCGCAATATGCACCGACGGAGACGACGACGATGCAGGTGTCGTTCGCTCTGGTGCTTGGACGCCGCCGCGGGAATGGTCAAATCCGATGTTGTTGAGTTGTTTTCGCAGCAGCGTGAGTGAGTATTCCTCCGATGGCGGCACCATCACGAGGACGTCGTCGTCCCGAGAACACTTGACGTTGAGGCTAGCAGCACGGCTGAAGACGGCGCTCGCGTTGGCGTCGCTGATAGGTGACGTGACAGCGGCGATGACGGCAGTGGCGGGGCTGTGTCTGAACATGCCGTCGCAATTGTCTGTGGTTGTCCCAGCCCCAGATCCCTGTGAAAGGTCGTTTGTCGAAAGATAACGCAAAGCCAGGTAGGTATAAATACAACTCGTTCGATAAAATATCAAAAACGTTTTAAAATCCATGCCTGAAAAGTAATATATAGATCTGCAACTATAAAGCTAGTATTTGTATACTAGAGGAATAAAAAGAAAATGCAACCTCGTCCTCGCAGTATTTTATTAGTCCACGTTGAAGGTGCACCAGTATGCGCTTCAAGTTGTATCGCTTGAAAACCCCAATGAAAAATATGGCGGCACCGTTCGATCTGTGTACAAGGTAAAGTTATAGATGACAGCAGCACCATGAAGAGCTTGGAGGTGATAGTGATGTGACGCGTGTCGTCGACGCACACGTTGCCTTTGAATCCATAAAGGTTGAAACCCCTAGGATTATGTGGTTGCTGGCGTTTCAAATGACGAAACGTGCGAACCTTCTAGAGGGATCTACTGGTTACAAACTGATGGCAAACCAGGTTCAGTGAATAGTTCGTGGGGTCCATATTAGTCGAAGGTTTGTGTTAGCTTACGGGTATGTACTCACAGTCAGGCAAGGGGTGACCTTCGGAATTCACTCCTGGTCGATGGCTTCGCTTGCCCCCTCCGTGTTTACAGTACTTATCGCGAGTGATTGATTGATAAGTCCCGAAATGAACCAGGCAGAAACACAAGTCACGATGCATGTCACTTGCCTCAACTTAAAAATACTTGGCTCATACCTTGTTAACGTGATTCCCAACGTGCACGTCACGAGATGTACAGCGACATGTCACCTATCCATGTATCTTTAACCAAGGCTGGTACCCGTTGTCGTCTGTACATGTACTCCGTACACTGCGGCGGAGATGAAGCTCTTCTCTCAATCACAGGGAAAGTGCTTCATCTGATATCGAGCATTTTATATGGGTCCCCCTACACATCTCCCAAATAATGCCTACAAGTTTAAGTACAGTGTACTTTTTATGGCCCCCCCTCCCCCTGGATACTTGAAGTATTTTGACATGTTTGGTGACCCTCGAGAATCTATTCTTGCTCTAACGGCTCACGCGACGTCGACATCGTCCCGACTTGATGGAAGAAGTAGTGGAGAACCAACGATGGTACACGCTGTCAGTACGTGTATCTGTCGTCATGTTTATGATGGAAACTTCCTGGGACGTGGATGCTGACGATGTGTGCACGCATAGGGCTGGTCGGACAAGCTGTTGGAGAAGGATCCGCCGTCGTGGTCCGACTCGTCGCTGACAGTCCCCAAGGGCAAGGCCCAGTTTGTCGACTACACGTGGCAACTGTACAAAGGAAAGAACGAGTACGACGAGAACGGATGGATCTACAACACGTCCTTTGACAAAGGCGGCGCGTTTGGCAAGAAAGGCGCGACGTCTGTCGTTCGAAGTCGCGTGTGGATGGGACACAAGACCCAGCGAGACGCCAAGGGCAATATCACGGTGTCGATCCACACCCTCCTGCAGCATGCATCTGGACCCAAGGCTCTGAAAAGTCCGCCATCAAGACAGTCCCCAACTTCCGCGCCCTCGTTTCAACCTACGGACCCAGTCCCTCAAGCGTCGTCGTCCTCGACGACTTCAAGTACTCGTGATGTGATTCCAGAGGACGAAAACGCGTCCATCGATCCCACCACCAGCGAACTCCTATCAACCATCGGTGAGGAACCTCCCGTCATCGCCACTCCAGTCGTCGAAAAGTCGATCGAGCCACCGTCGTCGTCGTCGGGATCATCGTACATGAGTCTCTTTTCGTCGGCATTGCACGCCGTCCAGGAAGTCTCAGCATACGCGTACGACACGGCGCACATGGCGACGGTCTCTGTGTTTGACGCCGCCCCTTCCGCGCCACCTCCGGCCGCCTCGTCCCGATCGGGTAGTTCGAACTCCACGCGGCGCTTTCCAGACCTGAGTCCCGCCGAAAAGCAGCTCGTGTCGTGCTGCGCCAACTCGCCATCGGCCGCCCCCGACAACGCGCCGGAGCCGGTCGAGTCGCCGACGTGCACAGCGTGCCACACGGCATTCGGCCTGGCCAAATATCGATACTTTTGCGGGTACTGCGCCAACTCGTTTTGCCGCGACCACTTGCCGGCCACCGCCCGGTTGCACGCGTACGGCGGCACCAAACTGTCCAAAATATGCGCGACCTGTTCGTCGCTCCTCGCCCAAAAGATCGAGACGCAGCAGCGCCATTGGCGCGTCGAGCGGGTCCAGGTACATGTTGCAACTTGGAGTGATACTATGATACTTTCCCCATTCCTAGCTAGTTACTCGAGACATGGAGTCATATTTGATTGAATATTTTGAATCCCCCTTGTATGTATATCACCGAGTCTGTGAGTTCTACTTCATTATTTCTCCGACGGGGGTTGGTGGGATGACCCGGTGAACAATCGTGAAATGAAGACATATTGTCGATTTGATACAAATATGGGGAGGGCGCCAACCAAACCGATCCACAATCGATCTGATTGGTTAAATTTCATTGAGAAATGGGTTTTGATTGGCTAATAATGTTGAGCTCATCTGAAGTAGCCAATCAAATCGATTTCAATTCCAATGAGAAACCACACCACAACACGAAATTTCACTCGAAAGCACGATATCAAAATGTAATAAGTAGGGTATCTTGTGACTCTTCATCCGTTTTTCGCCAATCATATATTGTGCATTTCAACCAAATTGAACTTGAGTCATAATTGACCTAATTTAAGCTTGAACAAACAATATTATACAAATATCAGTATATGTGTACTTTTGCCCAATGCAGGGTATCAACCGTTTGGATTGGCAGAAATTCGACAGAATGTGATTTGATTGGCTTAGGCGGTTCATTAATCCTCTTAAGACATTCGATTGTGCTGAGGGCTCCAGTTTCGAATCAATTTGACAATCACAACCTTGCTCGATTATATTTTTGGTGATTTCCCCCATCCCCCTAAATTCGCACTTTGGGCACAATATTAAGTCATGACACATATATATTTTTCACAATTTGTTAGGACTTTTTTGCGGGTGTGTTGGCGCCGTACGTGAGCTTCACGACCGACACGGCGATGGACAAGGCGTGTCGTGCCGCGGAAGGCACCCTCGTGGCCGCCAAGAACGTGCCGCTGGGGGCGACCGCCCGCCTCGCGGTGGTGAGCGCAGACTTTCTCCGCAAGTACGGCCGCGCGGGACTGCTCGGGTTTGTCCTGCGCAACGAGTTCATGCAGTCGTTCAACACGCTCAAAGAGTTACTGGGGGACATGGAGTCTCTCACGGTGCAAGACGCGTCGCTGGGTATGTACTACTTCATGGCGACCAACCGTGGACTTCGCGGGTCCAGTCCGACGTTGGAGGAGGACCAACACACGTGCTGCCCGGTCGTGTCAGACGATCTCTTGGCTCGCATGATCAAGTTTGCGCCCATCACGTTGCACTGTGTGTACGAGCTCGACATTTTGGACATGCAACGGTTTGCCAAGTTGCAGGGCTACACGCTCGTGTACGCGTCGGTGGAGAATCGGACGGCCAACCAGCCTGCGTTTGGGTTGGTGGTGAAACCCGACGAAAAGCTGGGCATTCTCATGATCCGCGGCTCCAAGTCGGTGCAGGATGTGCTCACGGACCTCCAGATCGCGTCGGCGGCGACCACGACGTCGACGACTTCGTCTGGACCGCTCGATTCGTTTGCGCACCACGGGATGGCCCAGGCGGCGACGTGGGTCAAGCACCAAGTCCACGACTCGTTGAAGGAACTCGACTGCCAAGGCTACCGCTTCATGATCAACGGCCACTCGCTCGGCGGCGGCGTCGCGGCGCTCTTGTCTGTGATGCTGCACGACGAGTTTCCGTCTCTAGAGTGCTTTGCGTACGCCGTGCCCGCGTGCGCCAGTCGAGACATTGCCGACGCGTGTGTGCCGTACGTGCACTCGATCGTCCTGCGCGACGACTTTGTACCCCGGGCCAAGACCCACAACATTGTCAAACTGTCGGCGGAACTCAAGGACTTTCGCGACAATTGGACACACCACGTCCATGAAGACTTGAGCGCCGTAAAATCGCGCGTCGTGTCGCTGTGGGCACCTCGGAAGCGAGAGTGGGCACAGCAAGAGGCGGCGCGGCTGCGTGGCACGAACGTCGTCGTGCAGCCCGTGGCCTCGACTGGTACTACTAGTAGTAGCAGTGGTGATACTACTAGTAGTAGTGACGGATCGACCGCCACGGCCGAGGCGTGGACGTTGAATCGAGCGAACCTTATGGACCAGTACAAAGAAACAACGTTGCCTCCGAGTTCCAAAGCGGCTGACGACGCGACTGGTGCCGCGGACGAGCAAGTTGAGGACGATGATGTTGATTTAGAGTCCAAGGACACGGTCGAGTTGTTTGTGCCTGGACAGGTACCGTGGGGGTGGATATATATATATACATGTATATATATATATATTGTCCTTTTACCTAAAATTTGGATTTTTGTGCTGATTCGCCAAATCTATCGATTCTTTGTATTGATTTTTGTATGTAGAATCATCCAGTGTTACACTACTTGAAGTCACACACACTAATTCGATGTTGCATTGGTCGAAGATTGGATTTGATTGGCTACTTGATTAATGATCTGGGTTTTGATTGGTCGATCGATAGCCGATTTGGTGCTGCTGCTCATTCGATTCTCCAATTTCGAATCGACTTGACAATATATATATATATACAGTATATCCTTCCTGTTTGTTATATTACCAATGGTGGTTTTGCAAAAATAATGATTTTATTTTTATTTTTAATTCTAGTTTCCATGATAATAATAGAAATAATATCTGTTGGCGATATGCACTCCGTTTTGTCGTGTCTGATTTTGGCGTGGTGCTGTATGTAGATCACGCACATTTACTACGTTCACGGCACGTACGAAGCGGTGCACGTGCGTCGAGACTGCGACGCGTTGTCCCGTATCCAAGTGTACGAGAACATGCTGGCGGACCACTTGGGCCGGAATTACTTGGAGGCGCTGCGGGTGGTCCGGGATGCCCGGGCGGCCGCGACGCCTCCCCCCGCGTGGGTGCCATTTGACACGCACACGCGATGCCAGTGCTGTGAAAGCCCGTTTACGTGGAACTCGACGTCGTCCAGCGAAGCCCAGGCCAATGTCGACCAGCACAACTGCAGGTACATATATATATATATAAACATGGAAGACAATATATATATTGCCTTTCTTGTGTGTGGGCGATATGCAACAAGGGATTGATGGAAATATGGGGAATAGAAACTGCGGGTGGTTGATTTGCGATGGCTGCTCCAAGAAACGCGCGTCGCTGCCCAAGTATGGCATCAACACCCCCGTCCGAGTGTGCGACCGATGCTATTACCAGCTGTAGCTACCCCAACATGAGCCAGCACCCCTGTAACCCATAAAGATGATATTTATACCCAGACAACCCAATATATATATATATAACGTTCCTGTGAGTGTTTGGCAGGTGAACGCACGAACGCAGTCTTGCTGGCTCTACTAGTGACCGATCGAATTTAAGCCACACTTTGTGGTCTGTAGCTAGCTGCATGTGCTCCAATATTGGTGCAGTAAAAGTTCTGTGAATGATGATCTGGCAATGGTCTAGACTTGCCACCACTCGGTGTGGACGTACGAGAAGACGTGGCACCACAGATCCCCTGGCAGCAGCACACCACATGACGTCGGAGTGGCGGCAGTTTGGGAAGGTCCCGAGGGTTTGGACAAGAGGATGGCGCGCGCAATGCGTCGAAAGGGTCGGGGAAATGTGTGGTGGACATCGCGACTCCACTGGCGATGGGCGGCCTCCAGCTGATAATCAAAATGGCCGCTCTCTCGGGCCAACGAGTGCACACATCCGACGTCGGCGAGCTGCCAGAGACCGCGGAGCACGCGAAGCGCGGGGGTGCCGTAGTACAGGTACTGCGACATGATGCCATCGGCGGTGTACGTCGTTTGCCAAGCTAGTTGGTGGGCCGACCACTGTCCTGCGAGGGTGCACGTCTAGTACGTAAGATGCATGAGACAACGACATGGAAGGTACTGGCGAGCGATGATCGACCTACCTGCGGATAATGGCTTTCTTGCACGGTGCCAGAGAGACTGCCGTCGGCGAAAAGTCGAATGGTCATCCTAGAGTGATAGATACGACCGTTGCCACCGATGGCAGCCCCATGAAAGAGGTAGTGCCCAGGTCCGAGTGGTGTTAGGGTCGCCAGGTTGCAGTCGTGCATGGCTACTTGTGGGGCGATGTCCGTGGTCCGTTCGAAATGAAAGTCGCCAGCGGTGTGGTCCACAAGGACGCAATCAAACCACTTCCCCATGAACGTGCCGTGGTCTGCATCGTAATTTCCAACGAACCGCAGCTTGGCCGCGACATGTCCCGCCGCAATGCTGATGAATCCTTGGACGTGCTTTGTTCGTTGGTGGACACAGTAGCTCGTGTCCCATATGACCATGTTGTCATGCCCGACCTCATCCGGGCACTCCAAGATCTCGACGCTGCATGTACCATCCACGTAGAAGCAAAGACGGAGCCACAGCGGCAACCCAACGATCACGCCACGCACGTGGACTTCGTCCATTATTTGAAATTATCCGGATAATTTTCGAGCCGAAAAAGGGTTGGTGGAAAGCGAAACGGCGACGAGTTTCGAAGCAACATGTTGACTCGATGTGTCCGCCGCCTGGCGGTGACCTGTGCGCCGCCAGCCCATGGCGTCATGACGCTTCCGTGTGTCAACGCCATGAACTTGCGCTCCTTCACCGCGGTCTCCTTGGTGCAGCATCGTGCGTTTTCGAGCGACACCGTGCATCCCGTAGTCCCCAACTCGCGGTTGTGGATCGGCGGGCTGCCTTACGACTCAACGCACGTTGACGTCCGCAATCGTTTTGAGCGACATGGAGCGATCAAGAAGCTCGAGTTCCCCACCACACCGGACGGACGCAGCAATGGCACGTGCTACATCTCGTTCGAGACCCCGGAGGCGGCGACCCGCGCGTTGGCCGAGCACGAAAGCGTGTTTGGCACGCGCTGGATTCGTGTGAAACTCCTGCGAGATCTAAACAACGGCGGACCACGAACGCCCAGCAACGCCAAAACCACGCCCAGTGCCAAAGTGTTTGTCGGCAACTTGCCGTACAACTACACGGAAGCGGACGTCGCGGACTTGTTGTCGGCGTGTGGCACCGTGGTGCACGTCAATTTGGTCGTGGACAACGAAAACAAGTCCAGGGGCTTTGGCTTCGCCCTCTTCGAGACTGTGGAAGCTGCCGCCGCCGCCATCGACCTCAGCGGCAGCGTGGTGCAAGGGCGCACGCTGAGCATCAACTACTCGACCCGCGCGCCAGTCCGCGAGCGCGGCACGGCCATGGCGGACACCGTCTTCGTGGCGAACCTTCCCCAGGACGTGGAAGAGGAGACGCTCGAGTCCATGTTCGACCACTGCGGTGCCATCGACAACATCCGGCTGGCAACGGACGCCGCGACCGGCCGATTCCGCGGGTTTGCGCACATCACGTTTGCCATGCCCGAAGGAGCAAAGAACGCCGTGGGGCTCAACGGAGCCCAAATCGACGCCAACACCATCGGCGTCGAGCTGGCCATTTCCAAGTCGCAAAAAGCACGGCGCTACAACGACAAGTCAGGAACGGCAGAAGATGACTCGACGCCCCAAGGGATTTATTAGAGATTATAACATTTAACAACCCTCGGCTCCATTTGAATGCAGGTGGATTGTTATTAATACATCGTCATTCTATTAATAGTATTATTATGGTGCTCTTCATCTATAAACTCCAACTGCCCAAATCCAAGACAGGAGGTTTTATTATTTAACGCATCTTTATGGAGGTTAAACCCAAAACTGTAGCGCGTTAAATCTTGATGGCATGCGTTTTATAACTCTTGAGGTCGGTTAAACGTCAATCCAACTCCGGATACCAAGTACGGATAATTTTCTCATACAAAGATCAAGCTATATCTCGCGTGCACCCCTGTGGCCAAATTCTATTCGCCCATGTAAAATAATACTGCTAGGTTAAATGTCTATTTCACGATCAATTCGTCACCAATTTCGAATCTGAGTTGTAGAATTTCTTCACGGCATTGAGACCTGTCGATTCCACGTCTCTATTTGCTGAAATTTTGAGAATTGAAAATGAAATAGCCTGGAGAAATTTTGTGAAAAGTTGGTAGTTTATAGATGAAGAGCACCATATTCTCCGAAAAACTGGAATTAGCTCACTGTCATGTAAAAATGTGCAACAATAGTATTGTGCTTTCGCGTGAAATTTCGTGTTGTGGCGTGGTTCTCGTTCGAACATAAATCGATTTGATTGGCTACATCAGATGAGCTCAAAATTTTTAACTAATCAAAACCTTCTCAATGAAATTCAACCAATCAGATCGATTGTGGATCCGTTTCGTTGGCGCGATTCCATCCCCAAATTTGTATCAAATCGACAATAACAATGTTATTATACTTTTGCATTTTCGCTTACTGCTGTACAAACATATTGTTACGGATCAATCATAACAATATGTCAGCAATTATAACCGATGGTGCTGATTGGATGATTCATAAATGTATTGATAATGCCTTGACAAATCTCGTTGGCACCAATCGAATTCCGCACCACCATGATGTTGTCGCTGCTACGTCGGTGCGCGCTTCCTGCGATGTCTACAGCCCGGCTTGTGCCTGCATCATTCCTCTGCGCAGATAATCTGATCTTTGGAGCGCGTCTATTCTCGTCGTCCAGTGTACCCGCCTCCAAGTCGTCGACCGTGTGGGTCGGCGGCCTGCCCTACACTACCACAGCTGCCGATATGGCCGAGCGTTTCGGTGAATTTGGAACGATTGAGAAAGTTCAGATGCAGGCCACCGCCGACGGAAGCCCGAGAGGGACGTGCTTGATCAAGTTTGCGTCTCCGGCGGAAGCGGCGGCAGCGCTCGTGATGGACCGGCGCACGTTCGGGACGCGGTGGATGACAGTCAAGAAGCACCTCCAACACGAATCCGTTGCCGAGAGGTTTCCAGCCATCAAGCCATCGCCCAAGATTTGGATCGGCGGGCTACCCTTCGAGACCACTGCCGACGAGATTCACCAACGTTTTGGCAGCTTTGGCTCGATCTCAGACGTGACGTTCAACACTCGGTTCGACGGCTCCCCCAGCGGCATGTGCTACGTCACGTATGCATCCACGGACGCGGCGGCGGCGGCTGTTGCGTCCATGAACAAGGCGACGTTCGGGCCGCGATATGTGCATGTGAAGCTGCATTACGACCGCGCCGCCACCAAGAAACGATCACATGACACGGCGCAGCAGCAGCAGCCAGTAGTGGTGGCAAGTCCCCGGGACTACCCCGTGAACCGCGCCTTCTTCGGCAACATCCCGTTCACATGTACGGAATCCGATCTCGAAGAGATCTTTGCCACTTGCGGCGAAGTCACCGACCTGTTCATCTACAGAGACAAACAAACCCAGCGATCCCGCGGCCACGGGTATGTGCAGTACAAGGACGCCGGAAGTGCCGCCGCCGCGGTGCGAGATGTCCACGGCACGGTCGTGGGCGGTCGGGAACTGTCTGTGGAACTCCCGAAGGGGTTGCGGCGGGCCGCCGTGTCGACGTCGACGTCGGTTCTGGTGACCAACCTCCCCGAGGACGTCGAGGACGACACGTTGCGCTCCATGTTTGAACACTGCGGCGAGATCGCACAGCTGCGCCGGGCGCCGGACCTCCGCTCGGCGAAAATCGTGTTTGGCAGTGTCGAAAGCGCGCAGGAAGCCAAGGGACTTGCGGGGGCGGACATCGACGGCCGCGCCATCGACGTCCAACTGACCAACGACAAGCAGTAGGAAACACAAACACCCTCACGCGAAATAGAAAGAGTTGAAATGACTACCGGGTAGTCAGCTACCGCGTTGCTGCGATGTCGTTAAATAACTCGAACCGTACTATATACCACCAGTACTAGTACTATAATAGTGTGTTTACAACATTACAGTAACTAACGTTAAGACTTGCATGATGAAAAAGTTTTTCTCTTTTTTCAATTAAAAATAGAAGATAATTTCACATAGCTCGTCGTATGTCTTGTAACATTTAAAACTGTTTTTATATCAAGTCGACATTCAAAGACAAACATAACTATTATTTAAATTGTTGTTTGAAATATGACCATGAATTTGATTACATGATGTGATACATATGGTCGTCATGTTCAGTAGGGTAGCTCCGAAGTACTTCAAGAAGTATATATAGTAAAATATTGTCGATTTTCTTCAAATTTCCCAATTTTGCATCCATCATCATATTCGATTATATGGAAGGGGTCTGGAAATTCATACTGAATCTCCAATAATTGTTTTTGTTTTGTTTTTTACCCCAATTTTGCACTTTCGGATACTTCGAATACGTACATGTGTTGATAATCCGGATAACACACCTCACCATTTTTCACCAGTCAAGTTTGGAGTCGGAATCTCAATGCTGCGTGCATTGACCGTTCATGTTGGACGTTGGCCATGCGGCGTGGGTGCGTCCACCGCAACATCGCTTCGTCCACTTGGCATGATGAGCTTTGGAACCAAGTCGTCGACTGGTTCAAATAACGAGAGCCGCTCGGTTTACGTCGGCAACGTGCCAAGTACATGGACCGTGGCGGACGTCAGAACTGCCTTGGCGACGTGTGGCCCCATCGAACGTGTGCACATGGTCAAGGATCGCAATACCAAGGAATTTCGAGGCTTCGCTTTTGTCGAGTTTGTGGACACTATCGACGCCACCAACGCCGTCGAGTTTGGCGAGACTTTGGGCAAGCATCGGCTTGTGGTCCGGCCGGCAGCTTCGACTTCATCGTCACCATCCACCAAGTCTCCCCGCGACAGCAGCACCAGGACATCGTCGTCATCGAAATCTTCGTCCACGACCCTTCTTCCTCACTCCAAGGACGATACCACCCCCACCGTCTACTTCGGGAACCTGCCGCATGGCGGGTCGACCGACGACGTGGTGTCGTTGTTTGCCGCCTGTGGCCCCATTCGACACGTCCATGTAGTTAAAGACTCTGTCAACCAGTCCAGAGGCTACGGCTCGGTGGAATTTGAAGACGTCGCGTCTGTGACCGCGGCGTTGGCACTGGGTGGGCGGACAGACGTCGCCACCACCGAGCGCAACCGCCCGCTTATAGTCAAGCGGCCCCACCAGACAAAAATAGTCGGCGCCCCTTCAACGGTGGTGCTCGTCAAGTCGCTGGCTCCGGACACGACGGTGGAAGCGGTGGCGGAGGCGATCTCCGCGACCGGCGCGAACGTGGCCCACGTGCACCTACATAAGGATAAGCATACCAAACAGCCCAAGGGCACGGGGTATGTGATCCTGCATGACACGGAGAGCATGAAGAAAGCAACCAGCGTGCGTCAGATCAACGACCACGACGTCCGGGTGGTGATCGCCCAAGACATTCCGGGCATGGCAAAAACGCTGTACCTGGGCAACCTCCCGACCACAGCCACGGAGGACGACGTCCGCGACCTGTTCAGCAGCTGCGGCCCCATCTACCAAGTGCGACTGGCGCAACGATCAGGCTCTCCTCGTGTGTATGCGCATGTCCAGTTCGCATCCGGGGCGTCCTTGGCAGCTGCCCGCCGCATCAACGCGCCTACGATCGGCGGCAAAAAGCTGTTTGTCCAAGTCGCGCTGGACGAGTAGTTAGAATCCGTAGACTCCATCGTAGTAGTACATCGACCAAGCGACGGTGTTGTATGTCTACTGTAAGTCGAGTAGTACAAGTGATGGACCACCCAATCGCTTTATTTTAGCCAATCAGATGCAAATATGTACTTATTTGAACCAATCACATGCATATATACTACAATGGATGCTTTGATTTGTCAAAACAATCGAATTCATTCGCCAATCAGACAAATAATTTATTGCCAGGGAATAAACCAATGGGCAGTTTCGTTTTTACCGCAAAATATATTGATGGGCAAATCCAATTCAAAATGACAGACAGTTACATGACCCAGTGCGGCGGAAGTCGATATGCACTCTTTGAGCATGTGCGGTCCGGAGAGATCAGCCGAGTAGAAGCGCATGTCCAAGCATACCCTGCGTCCATCCGTCACCCTTCGATCACGGTAGTCTGCATTCATTTCGGCATACCTAATGAGTCATGCACCAGGGAGCGTTGCCTGTGCAGGTTGCTATGGACTGCAACCGATGGGATATGGTGGTGAGCCTCGTGCGCGCCGATCCGGAGTTGATCGTCGTCCTGCTTCAAGTACGACTCATTCATCCAGCAGCATATCCATGGCTGTACATCGTAGACGGCTAACGTTTCGCTTCTTCATGAAGCCACCCGCCGCCACGTTCACGAAGACTATGTCGTCCAACTCATTGCCGCCGCGCCAGACTACATTGGACGTCCCACGCACACATCTATGGTGTCTCCCACACCTATCGCCTTGGCACAATTGGCTTACATATCCGTTGGTCAATAGGACACGCCGCGGTATCCGATTTTTGACCTGATGGAGGGCAACTATGTCGAGTCTGCTGCCGCGCTCGTTCTCGTTGCCCATCCATCGTCGACGTCACAGCTATGTATCACAGATGATGAAGGCAACTCAATAGCTCACGTCGCCTGCCGCTGTAAACGTCCGTTTCCACTCGAACCATTGCGACTCGCCTTGGAAGGCCTCCTCACTACCGTCAATATGGACGGTCAATCACCGATACACGTGGCAGCCTCCTGTGGCAACCTCCACGCTCTTCAGTGCGCTATGACGCTGTCTCTATCCCAGGCAGCTCAGCATTGTACCCTCGTGGATCGAGCAGGAAACCTGCCCCTGCATGCTGCGGTAGCCGAGCGCCACTGGCATGTCGTCGTCCCTCTCGTGACGTGGCATCCTCCTGCAGCAGCGTCGCCCGATCCCCTGGGGGATCTTGCGGTGCATATCGCAGCTAGTTGTCGGCAATGGGACGTCGTCGAGGCAATTATTGCGTTGGCCCCGCACACGGTACCATTGCTGAGGTCATCATATCATTCAACATCTCGTCGTCGTCGTCGTAGGTCACCATCCCCGACAGGCTAGGGCGGTCCCTGCTCCGACTTGCGTTGCACGGCGCCGCGTGGTCAGTTGCCACTACCCTGCTAGACCTACTTGTAGACACCCCGTTGCCACCAGACGTCGAGTCGGTCGATCCGGCGGTGGAACAAGCGCAGTGGCACGTTGCAGGCCAGTTGTTAGCCAAGGGCGTACCCGTGCCCCAGCCATTGGCTACCATGAAGCTCGCGTGTCAGCTGGGGGCTCCGTCCGTCGTGCTGGCCGCGCTAGTCGCTAGTTATTCGTACCCGACTGACGAGGTTCGTGATACTCGAGACAAGAAGCTCAATGATGGAGACTGGGCGACCATGGCGTTGGATGTGGCCCTTCGGCATCGGCAATGGGAGGTGGCCAAGTGGGTGCTTGCCATGGATGCCTCAGCGGCCCGACGAAAGAACCGGATGCGCCTCTTGCCCCTTCAAGTTGCAGCAGCCACCGACCCCTCCAACGCCCCCCCCGTGTCGTTGCTCAACCGGCTGGCAGCCGCGTATCCGCAAGCCGCCGTTGCAGTCGACTGCAGCGGCACCCCTCTGCTACACATCCTGTGTCACCGCCACCACTGGACATGTGTCCAGGCGCTGGTCCAAGCTGCTCCGACCGTCGCAACGTCCGCCCGCGACCCCCAAGGGCGTTTGGTTGTCCACGTAGCGATGGAACTGTACGTCCTTGAAACAAAACTCGCATTCTCTTGATGCATATATTTTGGTTCCGACTTTTTTGAAATCCTATTCAGACTCGCGCCGGCCGAGGTCGTCGTGGACTTGGCAATTGCTGGGCCGTACACTACGTCTGTCGTGAACCGATCGACTTGGATTTTGCATGACATTTTGACCAAGTACGCCCTCAGCTTGAGTGGCGCGTCCGACGTGCCGCGCCTGGCAGCTGCGTTTGCGTCTTGCTCCGACGCGAATCAAAACACCGCGCTGCACGTCGGGATTGCTTGCGGCCACGTGGGATTTTGCTCGACGTTGGTTCGAGACCACGGTGTAGACGTCTTTGCCGTCAATTTGGAGGGCGAGTCGGCCCTGGATTTAGCCAGGCGGAGTCCGGACCCGGGTGTGCGGGCGGTGTTTGCCACCATGGACGTCACGGTGTCGTCGTCGTCCCCGCCGCCGTCCCCGTGGATCGAAGCGGTGGACGGGCATGGACGGACGCCGCTGATGCACGCGGCGCTGGCTGGACACTGGGCCGCCGTGCAGTGGATGCTTCAACACGGCGCCGACCCAGCGACGATCCAGGCGTTGGACCTACCGCGAACGGTGCAGCGGGCGGTGGCGGCTAGCCAACATGCGCATGTGGTCATCCACCGCCGCTACGTGGTTCAGACGATCATTGGGCCCCAGCAAGAGCGTCACGACGACGAAGTTGGCGAGGGTCTGGCCATGGACTTGAAGACGGGACACAATGTACGCCTGGTGACGTTTGCATCGAAAGAGAATCTGGCTGCATATTGCGCGCGAGTGGACTCGGTGCAGCGACGGTCCCCGTGGTTGTGTGGGGTGGCGGACTGGTTTGAAGACGTCGAGTCGTATGTGGCGGTCCTGGAGGGAGCAGGGCGATATGGAGCTGTCCTCGACTGCGTACGCCCCCCCGCCGCGGCTTCCACCGTGGGGCCTATGCTATGTCGCGCCCTGGCGGACGTGCACTCCGGGGGATTCGTTCACACGGGATTGGTACGCTCATTACTAGTATCGTTGTTTTCTGCCTGTAAAAATGAACGACTGAAGGTGTGAGCAGAATCCGGGGAGTTTTGCTTGGATGGCGCCTGGTGTGGTCAAGATGCATGACGTGGCACTCTGTCGTGCAGAGCCGGACGCGTCCGTCAACCCGTTGCACATGCCGCTGGAATCCTCTCTTCGATACCAGAGCCCACGGGTGGCTTCGAGCTTGCTGCCTCGTACGTTTACAATGTATAATACAGTCATATGTGCTATTTTGAGTGCCATCGTATCGTTGCAGGCCCTACAACGACATCGGTCTACCCAGAGACGAAGATCGTTGCCATCAACCAAGCCGACAACCTGTGGACACTTGGCGTCTTGTTGTACGCATCAATAACTTGTGATGCTTCGTGATGGTTTACTGTATGTCGTTATAAAGGTTTGAGCTGTATGTGGGAGATCCTTGGACAGATCCGGCCCTCCAAGGTGTGCCGCTACTCTCTGCCATGGCATGGTCGTCCCAGGATGACGTGGACACACGACTGCGACGCCACAAGTTACTACCTCGACCTGTACTCAACACACTAAAAGGTCTCTTGTCAGTTGACCCCAGCAACCGTCCTGCTCTCAGCTCCATTTTGGTACAACCTAAGTCGTTCCAATGTCAAAGTTCACTTTACAGCTAACTGTTAATCAACTAGGTGTCCGAGTACTTGTCTCCGCCCTCTTCGTGGCTTCGTGACGGAGGTTCCTCTCCATTTCTTCAACCCAGTCCTGTCGACACGACCACCATGACGACTGAACCGACGCTTTTGAAGTGGACCCCGTCGGAATTGGTGGCCCTAGCGCTGCAAAACCACAAGGTCGAGCTCGAACGCATGCAGCAGCAGTACCACCAACAAGCTACGGCCGTGCCGACTCGATCACTGAAACCTCGCCCCACCACCACGCCCCCCCATGTAGTGCCACTCTCCCCCCAAGTAGAACCATTGCCCCCCCAGGCAGAACCATCAGCACTGATGAACGACGACATCGTGATCCAAGATGAAGCTACACCAATCCAATCAACGGACGATCCGTATCTTGGCCAGCGTGTGCGAAAATACTTTGCAGACGGCATCGCGTACCATGGCACGGTACCCAGCACACCACTGTGTCTCATAGCCTCCCAACACAAGCCCTATTAATATACATAATTAGGTGACGTCGCGATGTCCGAGTGGGGCCGCCGTCTGGACGGTGCAGTACGACGACGGCGACAGCGAAGACATGACGCAAGCCGACCTGGCGGCGATCGTCGGCGTGAAAAGGTCGATCCAAGGCTACGTGGCCACAACTCAACTGTTGAGTCAAGGCCACTCGGTGTGGCTAGTGCACGACCTTCAGTTGGTAAGTCCGACACCAAGTACCGTCATTCCCAACACTCATTCCTTGGTTGATCACAGGTCGCTCGAGGGCGAGTATACACTAGTCCACCTCCACACATGATGACACAGCATCGTCACCTTGGACATGCCGACCACGACGACGACGATGTGGTGTGCTTGCGCATCACCAAACGCTTCACAGGTATATCTATCTATGTATATGGTATTGAAGAGATACCCATGAAACGAATGGGTGGCCAGGAACGCCCGCCAAAGTGACGGCACAGTTTATTCTGTGTACAAACAGCAACAACACCAAGTCGGCGTACTTTGTGTGGTGGCGACGCGCGCACTGCTTTGTACCGTCTTAGCTCGTTGAACCAACTAGATCATATATATTATTATAGTGTTGTTTCCATCTTCCAACTCTTCTTGAATCAAATAGTAGTCCTTGTTCATTTTTAAACTTCTTGAAACAAGTACTTGGAGTCGTCGGTCTTGGGGGCGTCGTCCGCTGCCTCCGTGGGCGTGTCGGGAACGTCCGCAGGCGGCAGAGCCGGACCAGCGTCGTCGTCGCCTTCCTTGTTGTATCGGTGCAAACTGCGCTCGACGAACGGCGACGTCGTGCTGAATTTGTCGGCTACCCAAATCCGAAGCACTTCAAGGCACGCGTTGTGGCCGGTCTTGAGATTCTTTTCCAGCTCCGAGTTCAGTTCCAGCTCCCATTCCGTCTTGACTTCAATGTCCATGCGGTCGCTCACCACCTACACACCATCCTGAGGATTTGTTCCCATCATCCTTCGACCCAAAATACACACACGGTATGATTCTATCGACGAAAATAGCAATAGACTCCAGTCGAAGTAATATTTCTTATACCATCATAAGCAGCGGCACAAACTGCTTGCGAATTTCCCGACGGATCGACGGTACTTCGATGGCCCGCGCGCGGAGGTCCTTGGTCGATCGGCCTTGGACGATATCGGCGAGCCAGTTGGCCACAAATGAAAACTTGCGCAAGTTGGAGCGACAGATCTCAAAACGGAGCAGCTCGAGCAGCTCGGCCTCCTGAGCTAGCCGCGGGCACCGCGCCAGCACCAACTCCTGCACGCGCCCAAACATATCGTCGGTGTTCTCAAGGCCGTGGGCGCCAAACGCATAGCAATTGCTGCACAAGTCGTACCTAACACCACATATGACATGCTCCGATACTTTGTATTTGCATTTGATATGGGGCACATGGTACAGTAGTACTGTATATCGACACGCACACTGTAGTAGACTATATCATGGACAGAATACGCTGCTTAACTAGTACAACATATCCATACAACATATCCATGTAGAAAATATATTCAACACCAAAAAATATATCTTCGTAACATGTACTAGTAGAAATAATACTATTTTCACACTTGGATTCTTTCAAAATAAAAAATTTCAGTCCACTACTCTCCCCTGATGTCATAAAATTAGTGCCGGGATGATAACGGCTACAGCATAATGCTATATATTTGTATATTTTGTATAGACAAATATATATATATATATATTTGTCTATACAAATTTAGATGGAGTGGAACCATGAAGTCAGTCCATTGTGGGCCAAGAGGTACAGTACCCTTCGCACGTGGCGCAGCGGAAGCGGTCGCCGACGATGGGACTGATCGAGCACACGGCGCACCGCGTGCCCGGGTGCGTCTGCTTTTTCTCAAAGTTCTTCATCACGACCGTCTTGGCGGCCGTAGCAATCGACCCCAAAAACGACTTGGTGAGCCCGCCACCGCCGCGACTCGAAGTCGCTCCGTCGGATCCGGCGGCGGGGATGCTGCCGGTGATCGACCCCCCGAGGAACGAATTGGACAAGAACCCGCCGCCGCCGCCTCGACGAGAGCTCGTCGCCGTGTTGTCGGCCTCCCCCATAAACGAAGGCGTGGCCGACAGACGGCGAAACAGCGTCGGCGGCAACGCTACACCACCCCAATCATCCTCTTGTCAGATCCAATCATCAAACACAAATCATATCTGTGCGTACATTCCATCTCGAGCGTGTCTTCGCCCGCGGCGGCGGCGACCGCCTCGGCGTCCGGGCTCGACACGAACCGAGCGCGGTCGGCATGCAGCGTCCGCATGGTGTGCAGCACGAGCTTGTTGTCGTACGGCGCCGGACCGAGAAACACGTGGCTGGCGCACTCGGCGGGTCCGCTGGTCGAGATGAACTCCTGCTCGCGGGGCTCCAGCACCAGCTTGACGTCGGTGGCGACGATGTGCCGCGTGAGGTGGAAGTACGCGACCTTGACGTGATGTTTGGCCTTGAGCCACGGCAGGATCGTGTGCTTGAGCTCCGCCACGAGCTCCGCCGACACATTCTGCAGCACCATGTTGGTCTCCATCGACAGGCGTTCCTGTGTTGGCATCATGAGATGGCATTCGATTCCGTACACACACAATTCTACCTATCGTGGCTATTCAAAACGCTACTACCATCACCACTCTATCGCAGCTTCTACTCTGTCGCAGCTTCTACTCTATCGCAGCTTGTTTGACAATATAATCCACTTTGTATCTTGTGCCGGGGCACTTGTCCTCTAGACGATTGGAAACCCATCCACCAATCAACATTCGTGTTTAACCCAAGATAACAACCATTCATATGACATGCAACACCAGAGTCGTTCCAACACGTGAGATATCAACATGGCACAGTGTCACATAGGTTGAGAGATTATAATGCTTCCGTACGTTGGTGCCGAGAAGCACGCGGAGGATGCGACTGGCGCCGTCGCGATGGGCGAATGGCACTTTGTCCAAGAAGGCATCGAGGACCGCTCGATCGTACGGCGCGGCGGTCGGCAACACATCCGTGTGCAGTTTCCACTTGGAGTCCATCTAAAGACACATACACATATCAACAGATATAACAAGATGGAAGAACACATTCACAGAAGTCCTCTTGTTGCTGGTCAGTAACTAACTAGTCCTCCACAACCACGTATACGAAAATTAACTAGATAGATCGATAGACATATATCCTGGTTATACATACACTGTCATCGTCGTCGTCGCGGAAAAACTGCTGCGTCGGCATGGGCGGCGGCGTCGACGGCGGCGTGTTATTGATCGAGTCGTTGCTCACGCGGACGTCGTCGTGGATCTACTCTGTCATGTGACGTTGCCACGTCATGGAAGTGCAAGGTGGTCGTTACATGGTGGCGCGCCAGTTGAGTCTCGAGCTTCCCGATGGACTCTTGGCTCTCCTTGAGCCGGCTAAAGTGCATGGCTTGCTCAGTGTCCAAGGTAGACTCGAGCTCTTGGATGCGTTCCTTTAGAAGCTTGATTTCGTCGTCTTTGAGTCTATTATATATACCAGTCGTCTAGTGAGCTTGGGTACTTCACTCGACAGTATATCGAATCCACACGATTTCAGAGTTGAATCAAACTGCTAATATATATATATATATGGCTAGAACTCTGGAATTTGAATTTTAAGAATATGTCAATAATGGGTAAAAAGTCGAGGTGGAATCAAACGACGTACTTGAGCTCGTGGTCTTTTCTGTCCAAGTCCTTGACCAACAGGCTGTTTTCACTGCGAAGGGCCGACACTTCGCTTTCCTTGTCGCTCGACTTGCGGCCGCCGTCGGTTATTTCCGACCCGGAGCTCGATCGCGCGTTCGCCGACGTGATCGCCGTGTTGAGCGCGTCCATGTTGCGGCGCCGGTTCTTCTTGTTGCTGGCTTCGAGCGCCGTGACGAGACCCCGCAATGCTTCGGTTTCTTCGGACTTGAACTGGATTTCCTGATGGAGGAACCCGATCTGCTTTTGCGCCGCGTCGAGCTTGGCCGTCTCGACGCTGAGCAGCTCGTTCTCACGGAACACGTAGTCAAACTTCTTCTTCCACTCGGTGGCTTCCCGCTTTGTCTTGACGTATTCGGTCTCCAAGAACGACAGCTCCCGCATCTTGCCGACCAGTTGATCCTGGAGCACCTTGTTTTGCTCGATCGCGTTCTGCTTGCGCGCGTACATGTCTTCGTTACTATGCATGCTTTGTCGATGCATCAGGCTTGGCCGCTCTTCGTCCATGCACTACGCACACGCAATTGTGTCAGTGGTGGGAGCAAAGGCCATGAAGGGGCGGTAGAAGCCATGGCGGACATACCCTCAGGAGTTTCTAAGCTCGTCAATGACAAAGTGCAGTCACAACATCTCTTTTCGGATGCTTGGCCATTTTTAACCGGAATATCCTAACAAAATCGAGGTATTATCGTCACCCAATCAAATCTCAGCTATCAATTAATCTACCATTAATTAACTACACCACTTCCCGTTCAAGTTGAAATGAATTTCCAGTCAATGTGAAATGAACACGTTTGAAACACGACGATTTTCAAATCAACATGAATTCTCTAACATTATCAACTTGAAACATACTTTGTTTCATATATATTCTGGTGTATGATTTGGATATAGGAGGAAGATGGGTGAGGGAGGGTAGACATGATGATTGAATCACTATTGTATACTAAAGGGTAGTATAATTCATCACCTTATCTATCTATATATGGTCACTATACTACACCACTTCCCGTTCAAGTTGAAATGAATTTCCAGTCAATGTGAAATGCAGAAATATTATAAGATTTCACAAGTGCAGTTTCACATCTCAACATGAAAAATGTTCACTTCATAAACTTACTTCAACTATACACCACTTCCCGTTCAAGTTGAAATGAATTTCCAGTCAATGTGAAATGCAGAAATATTATAAGATTTCACAAGTGCAGTTTCACATCTCAACATGAAAAATGTTCACATCAAAATGAAGCGTTAAACTTACTTCAACTATAGTATAGTGACCATAAGGTGATGAATTATACTACCCTTCAGTATACAATAGTGATTCAATCATCATGTCTACCCTCCCTCACCCATCTTCCTCCTATATCCAAATCATACACCAGAATATATATGAAACAAAGTATGTTTCAAGTTGATAATGTTAGAGAATTCATGTTGATTTGAAAATCGTCGTGTTTCAAACGTGTTCATTTCACATTGACTGGAAATTCATTTCAACTTGAA